TCCCCCCGCGCTGATTCCACTACGGGCTGCGTCTGCTTCTGTCTCCGGGAAGCCCGAGAGCAGCCCCCGCCCCAGTGTTACTCGGCGCCGCCCCGCGGGCTGGCGAGTCCGGCGGTGCAGAGAACCGTTCTGTGACTGTGAGCCCTGCGAAGTCCACCTGGGCCACCAGAGGCAAGCTTGGGGTTCCTTCTCCTGCATCATCGCCAGGGGTAGTGCTAGATTCTGTGGCAAACGTGCATCCTTATCCCCTTCCTGCCTTTGCGCATCTGTAAAGGATGGACCCTCCCTCCAATTAATCCTTAAGCGGTTCCGTCAACGATGCAGGGGACTAGCTGTGCCCTCCTTTATTTTGGCTGTTCATGAATAAAAAGTAACTAATTGAATGTTGTTGCTAATTTAGATGAGGTAGTGGTATCTGTTTCCTCTTGTCATATTGATGCAAAAACATAACAAAAGTGACTAAAGTTGTGATACTTACGAAAGCCGTAATGTGGAGGTAGTTGGACTAGCACATCTGTTTATAAAAGTATAATTTATTCTCTTAAACCTAAGCTGCATTAGTGTGGACATTTTTGTACAGATATGAATGCCTCCACACTGGTGGGTTTTGTAAAACCCTCCTACTGTAGACAAAGTATTGCAGTGCAAAATTTAACACTCAGTTTGTTCTCTTATCAAAGAGAAGATTGTGAGGCATCATGGTCCTGATGTATTAGTACCTTCACAGGTACCTGGAACTAAAGGGCTCTTCTGCTTAGTGGTGAAAGGTATAACAAGAATCAGTGTCTCAAAGTAAAAGTAGGACATATTCACAGTGAAAGTGATCAACTTTTGAAATAAATTCCCAAGGGAAAGTGGTGGATGGGTTCAGATCAAGACTATATGCCTTTCTAGAAGATAAAATTTAGTCAAACACAAGTTATTTGGCCTCAACACAGGGGTAACCATGAAATTCCATGGCCTGTATTACAGAGGAGGTCAACCCCGATGGTCTAAGGAATCCTTTTAAGCTTAAAATCTATTAATTTTACACAGTTGTGGGATTTAGAATGCAATTGACAGCCCAAACCTCCAGATACAATTGTCTATAACAGTGGTTCTCAACCTGTTTATTACTGTGGGCTGAATATGCAGCCCATAAAGTGTTACCTGGGCTTCAGGTTGAGAACCACGGTACCCCCCCACCTAGTCCCCCTCTCCCAAACCCCTATACCCAGCGCTCTCAGCCCAGGACTCCTCCACAGAGTGGAGCCAAGAGCAGAACACAGGGCAGGGATCTCAGACCCTGCTGCTGCGCAGGGCCAGGGAGCAGCGAGAACCCGAGACTCCGACCCTGCCGCTGTGCAGAGTCAGGGGTGGGGAGGAGCAGCCAGGACCCCGGAGCCTGATCCTGCCACTGCGTGGAGTCATGGGGGAGGCAGGTGGGACACCATAGCCCAACCCTGCCTCTCTGCAATGCCAGGCGGGGAGCCCACAGCCCGACCCTGCTGCTGTGCGGGGCCGGGCAGCAGCTTGCAGCCTGGACCCGGACCTTGGTGCTGTGCTTGGAGCCCACAGCCTTTCTCCCAGCCCCTCAGTGCCCCCGATACAGCTGGAGGGGCCATGGGGAGGAAGGAAAGTAATATCCAGCTGAAGGCAGCAAATGGGGAGTGGAGAGGGAACAAAGAACAGTGCAAAGCCTGACACAGAAGGAGCAAAATTACAGAGATTTGAAGTGGTGAGAAGCTTAATTTCCATGTGATAGTAGATAGAGACCCATTATGGGGAGTTGCATAATTAAATTGATGGGCAGTGAAGATAAGTTTTTGGCTGCACTTTATGTGGACTAAAGGCATGCTGTGCGTATGTTTCGGAGGCCAACAATGAGAATGTTGCAATTGTCAACTGTCAAACACAGTTTCAGAACATCTTTTACAATTACTTGTTTCATGATGAGATTCCACTTGATTAAATAGTGGCCCTTCAGTGAGTATCACTGCTCTGTCCCCTAGAGAAGATCTTGGAGCGTGTGACTGTTTATCCCCCAAATTGCAGACTTTTCTATTAATATCTGTGCAGTTTCTACAGGAATGACTGTTTTGTCTTTAAACATTTCTTCGTTATTTATAATCTGAACACTGAAGCACACAGTTCCTGTGTCTGAGAACCTGAAAGTGAAACTAACTAGAAATAGGACAGA